ATCGCCAAAAGAATATTCACATTTCTCATCTTTATGGCGTACATGTCAATACAATTACTTGATCACACTTAATGAAGTCTCTCCTGATTGAATTACAATTATACAGTATAGGACAGTGATGTTTTTTCAATGAGTACTCCAGCAATGCACTTCATGTCCGTGGGGTCTGGTTGTTATTGGGCCGATATCATGCAGTGTGATCCCGCTATTGGTCACTAATATATATATATATATATAGGTCACGCTCCAACAACAGTGGATATTCCATTTCTCATAGTTCAACCAATAGCCTCTAGTCATTAAACCTCTATGTTTAGTGAATACCCTATTTTTTTTTAAACTCTGCAACCGCAATTTGAAACTGATGATATCGTCAGGGTTATTTTTTCTGACTGAAGAAAAGTCCTTCAGATCCACAAAAGACATTATGTAACTGTTTTCTCAGGCTGCCCTTTGACTTTTATCTTTTAGACATACTTTAAAAGCCTTTCAGATAAAAGCTGCAGAGATCGTAATTTTTAATTAGCTGTACTTCTCAACTGTTTTGTATTTACCATCTGGTAGTATTACTCATGAAACTAAATCAAGAGAACAACAACAAGTAAAACAGGCCTGCAAATCTAACTGGCTGACAGCCAATGGCCACTGTTTTTTAGCCAACAAGCTTGCTGACCACCCACACCTCAGCCTAGCTTTCTCGGTTTCTCCACTGTGTAACAAAAGAAAAGTAAAGTAATTGCATCTTTGTTTACCATGTGATATACATTATTTTTTATTGCATGCCTCCATTTGCCATTCTTTTATATTTCAAAATAAAACTCTACGTTACTAGCAGATTAGAAACCCTTCTCTAAATGACCAATAATAATAATATTAATAGTAATAATATTTTTTATTTATAGAGCCATTTTAAAAACCATGTTACAAAGTGCTTTTACAAGAGAAAAAACAATAAAACACACCAAACGAACAAACAAGATACACAGTAAAAGCGGGAAGAAACTTAAGAAATAAAAATAAAAATATAAATAAAAAATATCAACTAAAATCAGGAAAGTCTCTCCTATAAAGGTATATTTCAAGAAGGGATTTAAAACAGTTCACTGCCATCGTGCCAAAGAAATCAGCCTCCTATAGGAGAAATCCAGGCAGGAAAGATCTGGGTTTGCTTACCTCCAGCCCCGTCACAGAAACAGGGTTTCTTGTTTAGATGACTGCAGTACACTGCAGAAAGCTGACTGTACTTACTTAAAGCAGATATAATATATATTTTTTACAATAATGTGAAATATTTGAATGTGAAAACAATGTGACAATGTGAAAAGGGTCACTTGTTGTGCTGAACCTACAGAGAATGATCACCTGACCTTTATGGAGCTTTATAGTGTGTTTCAACTCATTGTTTAGCTGTCCGGCCCACACATTTTACTGTTGTGATTCATTCTCATCGCTCTGATGGCATCGTTTTCCGACACAGTAAGCAGCTGCTTTTATTGAAAAAGTTTTAAAACCCACTGTATACTACCTGCTCAGCACCAGACGGCACACAGACACTCTTAGCTGGTGAACATAGTGGAGCATTTAGCAGCTAAGGAACCAGATATTTCCCTTAGGAGTTGGTAGAGACCAAAAACAGAGTAAAAAAGGTGTTACTATCTGTTCTGAGTGGGCACACCCCTTTCTTTTGTGTCTTTGTAGTGTTAACACAATGAATCAGACAAACGCAGATGAGGATGCACACGTTCTCCTCATAAAAGTATTCATGGCGTTGCACTCAGTTGTGCACAGGAAAAAATACAGGGGTAGTAGTACTGTGAAAAATGGCAGAACTACTTTCCGATCTGATTGTCACATCGCCTCTTCCATAAAGTTACAATGCAATGACAGCGACAGGAGATCTACACAACTTCATGAGGAGCACTCTGAAAAAGAGGTAAATCATAAATGAAAGAAAAGTTCACTAGAATGACTTTTAAACACTTTAAATGTTAAGAATCATACAGTTTCACCCAAAATCTGGAGCCAATCACCCACAATGTAGCAATTATTTTTTCCATGACAAGACCCTTTATAACCTGCTCATGGAAAGCCAAGTCAGTGAAACATTTCTTCATCATAAAGCACGTCTCAAGAGAGTTTAGAGAAAACAAAATGAAACCAATATGTCACTAAATGGAATCGTGCAAACAGCATGAGAATAAAACTCAACTGTAGAAATAGCAATGCTATAAGTTTCTCACTGCACTCTCTCGGTGTTACCTGACAAAAAGCAGGTGTGCTTATTATTTATATATATATACATTAACATATAGGTTATGGCTTTTTTGCCCACATCACCCTTCACGTACATACACTTGATGCACATACACCTCGTCAGTCTATGGTTGACGTTGTGCTCTGGAGCAGGTCCAGTGTTTAGCAAGCGCTAGCTGATGACAGATGCTTAATGACATACATGTTCGTTCTGCTGGGGCCAAAATGCCCTTTCATGGCAATCCACGCACATGTACGTGAGACTTTAAACACTGGTGAATATAGATGGATAACCCGCCTTTGGGAAACTCTGTCCTCCCAGAAGCATGAGAGTCCAAATATTTAGTCTCTCTATTGTTAGTCACTCACTGTTAAAGCACAAAGTTTGGAAAGTGAACGTGGTAGTGATAACAGTGACATACATGACTAAATGTTCATATCTGCTTTTGTTTGCAGAGGCTTTTTTTCTCTCTCCATTTCACTGCCGTACACTCATATGGAAAGTAAGTGCAAACCTCTCCACTCGCTGCGTTTCTTTGTCTCGCTGAGGTTTTTGGCCTGTTTCTGTCCCTCTGGTGGTTTTTAGCTGGCCTATCACTGCTGACGGGAGGCTTCCTCGTGCATTTGAGCAAAGCCAGGTCTAGTCTGGAGGAGAGAAAAAACCCTCCTGTCTCCTCAATTTGAAGTTTGCTTTAGCAACCATCTATGCACAAAGTGTTGTTGGATGCTATCAGCCCATAAACCAGTCTGTGTAGCATGGCCACAAACACAGCCACCCTTATTAAACCTGCACTGTTTATTTGAAAGGTTAACAAAGGTGTAGTAAGTACTTTGGTAAATCAGTTGCCCCTCTTTTGAACACACATCATCACTTTGGCATGCAGATTGCTTGGCAGAGGTCTTTGCTAATGGATAATAACTGAGTGATCTCCATGTATTATTTTTTCACATTTCATGTGGCCTTGGTTCTGATGTGATTTACAGCTATTTTTTGACACCGGTATTTTTCATTTCAACTTTGGCACCCAGCATTTCTGTTCACCGTGCCATCTGTCACCATCCGGCTACACTGCATAATACATTTAACATTATGCATGCTGTCGCTGAATGTTTTCTCCTGGCCTCGGTTCAAGAGGTGAAAGAAGAAGAAAATCTCTAGGTGAGCCGTGTCCTCTGCGGAGAAGACAGCTGTAAAACACATTGATTTGATGAATAAGTTCAACAAAGCTATTACTCTGAAAGGTCTGTGTTTTCTGCATCCACACTTAAAATCAAATTAAAGGCTTTGTTTTTTCTGTTATCTCTGCAAGAACTGTTACCAACACAATGGAATGCAAATTGGCCTACATTTAAATAGAGGGATTTCACACCTTCAGTCTTATCAGAAAACGGGGCAAAGCTGGGAGGAGATGGACACTCGGGGCTCAGCAAATTGACTTCAGCCTGTAGTGTGTAATTAGGTTGGATAAAGAAGCACTTCCCCAACGTTTGCATGTGCAGTAAGCACAAGCACAGATGTATTAGATCACCAACCCCTATATGGTAAGATAATATCCACTAGAACTCCTCAAGACAACTGTTTATTGTCAGATATGACTCGGCTCTGCACTTAAGTTACAACTTTGATCACAGCAACTTGATCTTCTAAATAATCTTGCAGTGATAGATTGTGCCTCTCAGATTTGAATCACAGAGCTAAGCATTGGACTCTCTAATTTAAATATCATGCAGTCTTTAAAAAATTCCAGAAGAAAGACAAAACTTACTACAGTTCTGCAGGTATGTCCAGATCCTCAAAGACAAACCATCTCTTCTGCATGTTAGCAAGTGTTTCCAAAGTTTTCCCTCTTTTTTCTAAATCAAACAAAAATGGTAGCTGGAAATAACATATGTCCTTTTTGATTTGTACAATGTGAACTGCTATTTAAAAAAAAAACTACTATCATTTATATTAGTCTATTGATGTTAGTTTACATTCTGAAGAATGCATGTGTTGTACAAAAAGGATTTTTAACTTTGGGACTGTACAGTTGGAAATTATATATGGAAATTTTATTAATAATACAATTTTCAAAAAATAATTGAACAGTTGCAAGGTTAAAATTCCTTTTGATGGTGCAGAAGATTTGCATTCTCTCATCCAGCTGGTTAGAAAAGTATTTGGGGAATCTGTAATTTCTTCAGAACAGCAGTAGGTTTTGTTTAACAACCTTCTGGGTTTTTCAAACATTGCCGGGTATTTATTTTCAGTAAAATGGATGCTTAGTTCTGTGACCAATGTAACACATGAGAAACACAAACTGGGGTCATCCTCCTGAGCATTCTTTTGCTGGGATATTTCTGGTTAATTTGATTAATGAGGATATCCTCACTTTACTGGAAGGAACTTCCTTCCCTATCCTCGGGGACACATGAGGTTCCTTGCACCATACTTTGGGAACTGGAAGGAAAGCAAACCCAAGAAGACCTCCATAATCCACTTGTATTCTGCACAACTTGCATATGGACTCATACATTAGATCAACTCCCAGGTTTAGATTATTTGCCATTCTATGGGTTTTTTTATTATTCAGTATTTTGTTAGGACAAAGTATAGCCTAAGCGGGGGAGTAAAAGGAGGGGTATTGGGAGCCTCCTGGAGCGTTTTTACACACTGGGTAATTAAGCTTTTTGACTGACAGCAGAGTGCCAAAAGGCGCAGACGCACTCCGATTGGCCGGAGCGCACTTTACAACCTCCTCTTGTTTCTAAGCTCCGCACAGGCAGAGCGCTTTACCTCCCCAAACTCTTGCAGGAGCCAGACGCATCAGAGGAGCGCGGCGGAGCTGCAGCCAGAGGAGACTGCTCGTGGACTTTACCCAAACCAGAAACTCAACACGTTTTACGCACGTCGATCAGCAGAGCCGCAGCCTATTGCACATTTGTTTCTTGTTATTACTCTGCATTTTTTTTCATGAAGTGAACCTTTAGTCGCTTGTCAGAACCGTACCGAATTGCATTCACTTGTTGCAAAAAGAAAACATGAGGTCTGCTTCGGAATCGCTCTGGGGAGGGATCCGGCTGGCTGTGACAGTGGCGCTCATGTTAGCATGCAGAGCGTCAGAATATGAGGATGTCGGCTGGAACCCACCCTACGGCAAGCCTCCCCAGTGTGTGGACATCCCGGAAGACCTGCGGCTCTGTCACACTGTGGGTTACACCCGGATGCTACTTCCCAACCTGTTGGAACACGAGACCATGGCCGAGGTGAAGCAGCAGGCCAGCAGCTGGGTGCCCCTGTTGCACAAGAACTGCCACCCGGGCACGCAGGTCTTCCTCTGCTCGCTCTTTGCGCCCGTGTGCCTGGACAGACACATCTTCCCCTGCCGCTGGCTGTGCGAGGCCGTGCGGGACGGCTGCTCCCCCATCATGGGGGCGTTTGGCTTCCCCTGGCCGGACATGCTCACCTGTGACAAGTTTCCCGAAGAGGATGTGTGCATCGCCATGTCGCAGCCCAATACGACCGAGGCTACCCGGACGACAGGTAATTCCCTCTTGCCTGGTCTGTTTCACTGATGAATTCCATTTCAACTATTTATTATCACTTTATTCGAAACTATCAAGACCTTAGCGTGCATACTATTTTACAGTAACTTATTATTTAAATGTGGTTGCGAAGTAAAACCACTGAGCTGCTCCACAGGGACATCGTGGGTTTAATGCCTGTGGTAGTTGATGGAGAGGGGAGATGCCTTCTGGCCAGGCTCTTTCTTCTGTGTCTTACACCACGTAAAAGTGGTGGTAACCTTACTCATGCAGGTGTATGACTGCAATTACGTTTTTGTTTTTTTGTGAGTTTTTTTCAAGATTCATCTGCAGTTTACCAGACTTTGTTTAAATGCGTTGATTCTCTTTAGGCTTTTAAAAACCCAGAAAATAGTGAGAAATAACCATCACAGGTTGCCACAGCCCAAAGCAATAACCAGAATTTTAGAAATACTGTGGTCATGAGCCCTCTGACACATCCCCCAACATCCTCAGCATCAACATTTTGACCAGCTGCAACATCTTCTCATCTCACACCAATGAGGGTTTTTTTTCAATTAAGTGTATATATTTTCTGTAAAAAAGCTTTCTGTCTAAAAGCGGTTTTAAAGTGGCCTGAAGGTAGTCAATTTAATACTGTATAGCTACTGTAGAATAATTACCATGTATAACTTTAATTTTGGAACATAAACTCCCCCCAGGTTGCTAAAACCCCCAAATGCCCAGACAAATACAGAGGACATGACCTCAGTGTCCCCTGGCCAGAGCATCTGACATCTTGAACTTGCTTGTTTTGTCTGACAGACGGGCCAGTATTAAATGATTTTCAGTTCACGAGATACAAAAACAGAGAAACAGCTCATTCTTACATAGAAGCTGGAAATTTATTTTGCTTGATCAACGATTCAAATGATTAATGAGTTGTTGAAAATTGTTAGCAATTCATTTTCTGTCAGTTGGCTGTAATGCAGCCATTTGCTAACATAAGCAAGCATTAACTATCCAACTCAGATTAACTACCTGACTGAGAAAACAAACAGCCGCCGCTTTTGCCACTGTGTGGAAGTCGACACCCGTGCTGTGAAATGGGCTTGGTAATGTTGTTTCAGGGGGGAAGGTGCGCATGCTGATGCAAATCCCAACGCAAACACACCAAATACAACCTTTTGGGTGGAATCAGCCGTGAAACCCTGGATTTGATCCCTTTTTAACAATGTCAACCCACCTCCTCCTCGCAAGAGAAAGTCTGATGTGGTTACATTTTCTTTTCAATCTATAACCTGCTGCTTAAACTCTGGCTTCGATGTGAACGTGAAGTTGCTTGCTGTTGACTAGGAGTGATGTTGTAATATTGAAAAAGCCTTTAACAGATGGTAGTCATTTATTTCAAGGTGTTTGTTGAACTCGAGGACAATGCTGGGAGGAAGTCCAGCACCGAAAAGTGAATACCTGCATTTATTAATTCCCATTTTCTACCGTGGCGTGCCATCACAGACAGAATAATTAAATATGACAAAAATGGAAGTTTGAAGACATAATTTGGAAAGCATACTGTCCAAACAATGTGTGTTAAAATACAGTCTGGAAGTGAGTGAGGCCAGCCGTTTCTAAACTAAGCTCCAAAGGAAACCCCCCCCCCCCCACTCCTGCTTATCATCTATCACTAATGGCTCATTGGCTGCAGATTCCCCAAACCTGTTGGGACTGTGTGTGTGTGTATGTTGGTAAGAAACAGAGTCAGACACCTCATGCAGCGTCTGTGAAGGGGGGATGAAATAACGTAGTCCATAAAAAACATCTTCCAGCACATACCCAGTGGGCCAAGCTCACAAACACCAGAGAAACCCTGAAAAATGCACAAAAGCAACAAGTCTAGGAAGATAAAGCTCGGGCTGATTTGGAATAGTTTCAGTTTGAAGCTCCCTGCCAGTCACCAAGGTGAGGTGTATGCCAGGGAAGGGAAAGCACGACCACCTCAACAGTCAGAGGGGAATTTCCATCATCAACTTACTTATATTTCAGTCTTAAGCTGTAAATACACCACTTGAAGACATTTTTACTGAACACGTTGGCCATAAATGGGGGAACTGTGGATCTTCCAGCAATTACACAGTGCTCACTGTATCTGTAGAATGAACATGTCCCGTGTGTATGTGTATAGAGGGGGTGGCTGTTACTGACTGACATGGTGGTTTGAACGGAGGCCCGTTTTTCTGTAAAAGACTCCCTTTTTTGGGTAAGGGGGACCACACAGAGCTCCATGCTCTCCAGACGTCACCTGTTATCATTTGTTGTCAGCGCTGGTGATAAATAAAGCTGCCATTCTCTCGCAGGACACAAAGCCAGGCCTGTTACAGCCGAACTCGGAGTACCACTGAATATCTGCCATCAGTATTCTCCAGGGAAAGTGGTTAAATCTGATCTTGAGGTAGAAAAAGACAAACAAAAGCAGGCTAATCTTCTCATCCGCTCTCCTTAATGATTGTTAATGGAGGCCAGCTAACAGGCCTTACCACGCCACTGCTGAACACAGGCTGGTGATAATTGATTTAAAGGAGAACTAAGCTCAAATAGGCAAAGGGACCCCTTGACTCTGTAAACAGTGTCTGTTTTCACAAGCTCTTTACACCTGGGTGTTACTTTCACAAGCTTTCGTTAAACACATGTAATGGACAACTGGCAACAGAAAGAAAACTATTTGTTTTCCGTTTTCTTACCACTGTGCTCAATCGATCCAGATCCACACTGTGACATTGAAATGCATTGGGCTTGAATTAAATGCTGCAGGACACTGCGATCGCATTGCAGGTCCAAGTTTATTTGGAAAGTAAACTCAGCTGTTTGGCATGGAGCGATCATTTGTGGTATTAGAAAAAATTTAAAAATTGTGTTGGTAAAATATTCACAGATAGGCCTCTAGACTGAATTACTTTTTGGCAAAAACACATTTTGGCTCTTTGTCCTCAGTTGGGTTTTTGTCTTTGAATCGGCTATTATAACCTTTTTTTTGGAATGTCAGAGAGCATTTCTTTGAGCTTGGATTGTAGATCATTACCATTTATTCTTCATTTCTATTACCTTTTTTTTATTTTTATTTTTTATTTTTTTATTACATATGAGGGTGTATATATCATTGTTGAGAATTATGGAAAGGTCCTTTTTGAAAACTGTGTAAATGCAGCAGACAGTGAGGTAGAGTGTTTACTGCAGCTCTTAGTTACAGCTGGCTATAAAAGCTGAAGACATTCCACACTGAGGTCAGGTCATCAGAGCGTACGAAGCCTAAGACACCAGCCAATTGACACCAGACACTAGAAATGATCTCTGCATACAGAGAGAGTTAGGTGTGTGAAGAGATTTGCAGGATAAATCATTTAAAATATGACCGTAAGGGCAGTGTGTTGAATCGTTTAAGAATTAAGTTTAACTCCCCTTCATTTTAAATGAAAAAAGACTTTCTCTTTTAACCACATCCCACACTGGTAAAGCCATGCGAATGATTCATTGCTGGTATCATTATATCACCTTCTTTTATCCACAGGTCACTCCCTCATCTGCCCTCCATGTGACAATGAAATGAAAACAGACGCCATACTGGAGCACATGTGTGCCAGCGAGTTCGGTAAGTGTCTTCCCAACACCCGCTGCGCCGACACAACATGCAAATCACGAAACACGCCGCTGTGATACTCCCTGACATGTATAACAGCACTCCATGAAATCAGAAGAGCAACATGAGATTGCATCAATTTTATCTTCCATCTTCAAGCTTTAAAACGCTCCATAAATTCTTGAACTGCATTCCCCCCCCCCCACAAGAGCACCCTGTATCTGATCTTACGTGGCCATTTCTACCCCAGTGAATTCTATAGAACTTGACAGCAACTTTCTTGATTATATAAATGACACTCTCAGTTTTTATTTAAGTTACATGTGATGGTTTGTCTCTTGGTCAGATGTACCAAGGCTGCCTGGTTTGGTAGAGGATGATGTTCTGTGACTAATGAATTGGGGTCATTAAAGTTTTTATGTGGCAGGTCTTCGCAGTAGTAAAGTGGGATGTTTGTTCTGCAGTCTGGACAGACTGTTGTTGCAGAATACCTTCTGCACATGGGGGAAGTAGTTAATGATGAACTATGTATTTGTTTTTCTTTAATAACATCTATTTCAAATATATATATTTTAAAATCCTGGTGTATATACGACCCTAAACCTGTCTTGGTGAATGAGGTCAGTAGATGATAAACTCTACTTATGTACATACACGTAATTCTGCTAAGATTTGACACCCTTTGTTTCAAGTGTTTTTTAATAATCATCTGGGAAAATGCGTAATATGGACTGACATAGACAAATAAAGACCAACCTGTAGTAGGGCAGGCTGTTGTTGTCATCTTTTTTACTGCCAAACTGAAAAAACCATCGAGCTGCGCTAAACAAATAATCTTAACACCAAACTATCTGAGAAGTAGTGAGCTGAACAGCAAAATCTTGACGACTAGTAAAGCCGTTGGCTGTACAATGTAGTGTTGGATTAAAAGGTACCTTCATTATTTTTCAACCTGGACACTATTGTTTAACCTAACCTAATTGCTTATGTGACTAACTGGGACAACAATTTTAACCTTCCTTGGATAATTGGGACAACATTTTTTGAAATTGGTCCAGTATTGAGCCCCTTGTAAGTGTACATCCACTAAAGTGCTTGTTTTTGCCCCCGGCTTCCTTAGATTGTTATTATATAATAAGTGTCTCAAAACATTATGCAAATTATCCCTACAGAGATGATGAGAGAGACTTTTTGAAAAAGAGTAAGATCCTTTTTGTTTAACTAGAAACAGTCGCTATATCAGATCAAAATAACTTCTTTCATCAATGGTGTCTGGTGGCTTTGGCGAGAGCCATATAGGCCTAGTAACTGTTTCTGGTTAAACAAAAAGGACCTGAGCCTTTAAAAAAAAAGTCTCTCTCTGTAGGGATCCTTTCCACAACGTTGTCAGACTCTTACAATAACAATCTTAGCCTGTCAGTGGCAAAAACAAGCACTTTAGTGGACGTACTTTGACGTGGCGCAATTGCCCGCAAGGATTGCGTTACAGCCCTGCTGCTGACTGCAGCAGGCTCGCTCAATAGTGGACCAATTTCTAAACATTTTGTCCCATTTAGTCACATACACCCAAAAACATGGAAAATAGGGTCCAGGTTGAAAAGTACCGAAGTTACCCTTCAAGCTACATGGGCTGCATTTGAATTGATTATAACATATTGTGTGTTGTATTGTAAATAATTTAATTCTAAGGCAGATACGTTCTTTCTTTTAAACATCTAATGTTTTCAAAACATTGTTTTGAGGTTTTAAATCAAAAAGTATTTAGTTCACCGAGTGGAATATGTTTTGTCCCAAATTGTGAAATTAACTTGTATCATATATAACTGTTTGACAACAGTTTCACCATATCGAGTTGAAGGTGATAAAATTCCGTTTCCGCTGCCCAGGTTTAAAGTCTATGTTTCAACAGCTCCATTTTCAAATGAACAACCGCACAATCACATTTTGAACAGATTTCATGGCCACATGTTCTTAGGTTGCCGGTGGTTGTAGAATTTTTGGAAAATGATCAAATCTGAGGAGGCATATAGCCAAAAGGGAAAGTTAGGGAATTAGAGAACATTTCTGTACAAGTCAGGGAATATTTTGACATTTTTTGAGATGGATCACCTTTCATGAAAATGCATGTTACAGCCGGTGACACATTAACTTTGTTAGAGCATCTGGACTAGAAACCAGACCGAAAACAACCTTAACAATCCAGGAAAGAAGGAATATCTTTAGCTGATGGGGCACTTGATTTAGCAATGGAAATTATGCACGAGGTACCCAATACGAGCCTTGCACTTTAAGAAGACATTGGAAGTTTTGAGTTTAATTAAAAAAACAAACCTCAACTGATTTGCAGTTATGAGAACTTCCAGGAATAATATGTGCATGATGCACACAAGATGCAAGATGTTACGCTTTCATGTTTTATCCGCTGGCTCGACCAAAACTTGTGGCAGCTTGAATTCCAGGTGCCATGCCGAGCAAACATAGACTGGATGCACATTGGAAACAGACTTTCTTCCAGTTCTCAGGAAAAGTTTTAAGTTACATTTGTTTAACGAATTGCCTTGTTGTTTATGCTGCGGTGATGGGACTCGCCTTTTTCAGTCTGCGTCCTGGTTTGCCAAGAGGAGAGTGGCACATTATTGGCTTGTTTCATCTCGGATGAAGACAGATGTTGTTTTGCTTACTTGTCATAAGCCCCCTAACCAGCTGACATGTGAGGATACACAGACAGATTTAGTATCAGGCTGAGGATGAGACTGTGCTGCTTATGTTGCAGGTCTGGACCCAAAAGAGACCAACCTCCTTTGGAATGCAACAAATGTCGTTGTGAGTCAGTGTGGCATCTGGGTTGATTCTAGCGGGTAAACAACTAATGCATAGCCTGACAAGAGATAGCATCGCTGGTTTTATCACCAGCGAGGCTAAAGATTTGTTTGTTGCTTTTCCCAGTAGGCCAATGGAATTCAGTTTTGGTCTGAGGAGAAAAATGCTACTATAAATATATCTGAAGCAGCTGAAGCCAAACATGAGTTAATGTCTTGTCTTGAGGAAAAAGAAAATATGCAGATAGGGAAAAATCCCAAGTTGTGTTTTAACCCACCAACGAAAGATAAGCCCATCATACTGATTGCATTCTGCTGGTTTTGACTTGACTGAAAGTGGACGAACACGAAAGGTAGCAGACAAGCCTGTAGATATGAATAGATATGGTAGATAGATGTCATGCTCTGCTCCACAGAACACGGGGGATGGAAAACCATGAAGAGGCTTGAGGAATGAATCAGTGACTTGCACTGAAGTCTTTATTAATCTGCACCGACCAATCATGTGTAAAATATCCCCACCTTGGCAATGAATTCACATTTTTGTCCACTGAAAACCTCACTTACTGGAAGTTGCGAAAGGTTTGTTCTCAGCTGAGGTAAAAGTTAAGTGTGAAGTCGTTTTTTGTAATCATAGCGTTGCTGTCGCCCTGAATAATTTCTTCCCATCAGTTGCTCAATTCCATTTGACTTTTCCATGCTTCCATGTTTGATCCTGAGAAAAGCAGAGAATACTGCGGCAAGATAGCTTTTGACTGGAGGCGCTTGGATGTGAAGTTGTTCTGGCAGAGGAGGAAAGATTCTTGTAAGTTAAATGTGCGTTTTCAACCAAATACATCAAAGTTACAGTAATAAATAACAGGTTCTCAGTCCAGAACTTTTAGTTTATTTTACTCTTAATTTTAGGTTTTAGGACTGACATTCCCTGATTTCTCTAAAATCCTAGTGAACCTCCTAACACACACACACACACACACACACACACACACACACACACACATATACACACACATCCTATTTGCAGCACTCAGCTGGTAACAGATTTACAGCTCATCCCACTCAACACTTTGTTCCCACCACAATTTATCTCTGTGTTTAAGGTTTTATGGTACCTCATTGTCCCTAAAAAACACCCTTCAATTAAATCTCTCCTCTGCCTTGGACAGATCACTTTGTTGTCATTGCCAAATTGCTCCTTCCCTTTGCTGATGCAGTAAACAACAGGGCAGCCCTGCGCTGGAGGACTGATCACTTCAGCTTATCGGATCAGTTGTGTATCCATTATTGCCAATGGGGAGCAGTACACACCCTCCTGCAGGGTTTATGACACCCTGGGAGCTGGAGGTCCCCTCTGTGCCTCTGAACCGGCAAGAGGAAATCAGGTCAGGGGTCAGGGACCAGAATAGAATAGAAAAAAACCACTAAAATGACTTTTCAGTTACAGTCCAGTTAATGTAACATAAATATCTAAATCTAGAATTAAAAATTGTAAACGTTAAAAATAGACATGTAAAGACACAAAAATTCTGATTTGCACATTAATGGGTTGTAAGCAAATTGTAATCAAAACATAGTCAAATTAGTTTCTGAGGATTTTGTTTCACTTGTGTGGAGTTGTTTTTTTATTTTTTGATGTAAAGCATAACAGTGGAACACAGCTCACGGCATCGGTGGTTTCCAACTTTGTTTTCTGGTCATTCCTTAAAACAAAGCAATTCTTCCACTGACTGCCAATTACTGGTTGCATGTCTGTTGGTTGTAATCAGTGAAATCAAAACCTTTTCCCTTTATTTTATTTTCAGAGACCTGAAGAGGTCAAAGTTATTCATTAAGTTATTCAATAATTCATTAGAAATAAGGCAAAGATTAGAAACTGTGAAAATAAACACTATTTTCCAACTTCAGCACCCTTATGGTGGATTATGACCTCCAGGTTAAGTACAGAAGTATTATATTACGCAAAATGTACTTAAGTAAGTTTCAAAAGTGAAAGGCTCTTTTCAGAATATTATATACGTGTAAGCAGCATTTTAATGTTGTAATGTTGTATAAGTACTTTATACTCTATATTACAACCTGATAGTCTAATAATTTTTGTTGTGAAATGTAATATATTAAACAGTCAGAGTAAGAAAATCACCTTTTGGTTGATTTCCTCAAAACTTGTGTTCACATAGCAGGCGGGTCAAACGTACTGTAGGTAGAATGAAATTCTGTATTAGCCGTCACATAAATATAGTGAAGTAAAAAAAATGTATTGCTGGAGAGTGGAATTAGAAAGTAGCACAAATAATGTGTCTCAAAATCACTTTATCATCTTGGATGGATACAGGAGAATTATTTTTCTTAATATCCTTAAAGCGATTTCAGTCGTATCGCGCAGCTCTAACTTGAATGTTTGAGTTCTTGGCTCATTCAATCAAATCCCTTCATTCTCTCAGCACGATAGCTTTGTTTTGGTCCCACCGGTGCAGGAAGAAATCCAGCTTGCTGTGTGAGTGAGCTTTACACTTCATGTTTGACACCAATGAAGACCCCCTGCTGGATGGATTTTCATGTTAAAGTGAAAACAGTTGTTTAAACACCCGCCCTCCCCCCATGGCACATACGTGTGTGGATGCAGGGACAGTTTCACCAGCCATAAGCAAAGGGCAGCATTGTTTACAACCACACAGTTCAATTATTTAATGTTAACTTCTTAATGTACGCTGTTGCTGAAGAGATTAAGCCCTCTAACAACACGAGGTGCAAAGAAAGTTCATAGCGTCAAAGGATTACCGAGGATGGAGGATTTATCAAAATGAAGTCCTTTCAGGGGTGGGCCAGGCTTTCTCTTTTATGACTCAGTAATTATGAATACTGACCATTTTGATTTCACTGAACACTAAGCCTCCTCATAGAGACTGTTTGAGAGACTAGAGACAGAGGATAAAAGTCTTAATCCCTTCCATGTGCACTCTTAATACTGGGAAAAACAGGGCGGCTCTTTTTTAACACTTTAATTAGCAATAGGAGATACGGGCGCAAAGGAGGAGATGAAACGTTTGGGAGTTTCTTAAAATGCCTATTCTGGTTTTTATGTTAAGCTCGATTTAGTTTTATCAGTCCAGACCTTTGCTGGAGTGTGAAAATGATTCATGCTCAATCAGGCTGTTTCCTGCACTGTAGGTCACAAGACTTTATCTCCGACACCAGCTCCGTCAGTTAGATTAGACATAGCATGCTGCTGGGGGAGGGTTTCTCGCACGTTAGCGTGTCACAAGGTCGTCCGTGCCGCACACACATCACTATATGTCAGCGGAACATATCAGAGGGCGTAATGCGTGGAGGCATATGGCGCTTTGGACCACCAAAGTCTGACTCGTGCTCCGTTTCAGACAGGGAACTGGAGGAAACAGAGAGATTAGAAGGTTAAATAGAGTTTTGTGAATGATCAGGAGTATTATGGTCAATCTGAAAAACAGGCTGAGATTCAGAGGGAGGTAAAAGCCAAAAACGAAGGTGTGCAACAATTCTCTGTTGCAAGACAAATCTGATTAAACATTTTCAAGCAACTGCTAATCCTGACAAGAGATACATTACTTTCATTGGATAAAAGATGGTTTAGACTATAAATTAAGGTCACTGGACTTCATTAGACAGATCTCATGTTTTTTCCCTATCTAAGAAAGACACATTTAAGTGGCTTTGTTTGGTCTTTAATGCTATGCATGGCTCTTGGTATCTGGATTTAGTATCAGACAATCTCTTAACACCTATACAGAGCATAAGCAAGACTCAGCTTTTAACCAGACTGCAAAGTATTATTTTAAAAATTAGAGCATTCATAATAATCACTCAGAATCTCTCTCTCTCTCTTCGTTTCCCTGTCGTTTCCCTTCTGCCTGTGGGCTGCTGTTAGAATGGAGAAAGACTGGACTAAGTTCGGAAGTTCTATTTATAACCACAAAAAGCAAGCAGGGTTAGAAACTGAACTAAATAATGTGTTCTGACCGTCTTTCTATCTATCTCATCCGCTCCGCTTCAGTACTGTGGATAGCGCCCCACAGACATAAAATACTAACTAGCATTCTTGAGAGGCAGCAGTGTGATTAGATCAGTGTTTGTCCAGCGTTAAGCATGAGGTAATATTTTTTTTCTCCTTTTCTCCAATGACAGCTTTCAAGACCAAGATCAAGGAGGTGAAGCGAGAAAACATGGACCGCAAAGTTATCCTGCAGAAGAGGAAGAAGATGTTGAAAGAAGGGAACCTGAAGAAGAAAGACTTGAAGACGCTGGTGTTGTACTTGAAGAACGGCGCGGACTGCCCCTGCCAGCAGCTCGACAACCTGGGAAACCACTATCTAATCATGGGCCGCAAGGTGGATAAGCAGTACCTCCTCACTGGCATCCACAAGTGGGACAAGTCCAGCAAAGAGTTCAAAAAGGCCATCAAGAAGCTCAAGACCTACAAATGTCCTGCTTTCGAGAACGTCTTCAAATAATATGAGCCCCCCACCCCCAACCTCCTTTGGTCACATCTCATACATATGAACTTGCACAAGCATTAAAAACCCAAACTTTGCTTTCTGTTTATATATCTATATATCTTTGTATATTTACAGATATACTTTGAAATGTCCATTAAGTTTTAGTTGAATGTGGTGAGTGATGACACCACAAAAAAGTGTTGACGTCCTTCTTTCCCTCGGCTTAAGAAAAGGACATTGTAGTAAAAGCCCTTTCTCACTGAAATCATTTCCATTATATGTATGTAGATACTTTCTTTCACTCTTTCACTCAACAGGTCAGTGGATTTTGATTAAAGGATTAGTTAGACATTTTGGGAAATACATCTTTCCTTTATTCCTGAGATGAGAAGACTGAGACACTCTCATGTCTGTACAGTTAATAAGAAGCTTGACCTAGCATAAGGTTAGCTTAGCCTAGCATGAAGATTAGAAGTAGGAGAACAAGCTAACCATAAATTGTTGTTTTTACATTTTGTTTTTGTACAGATTAAACAAATTAAATATAATGTGTAATTAGTGAACTTTAGTGGTGCTGGGTGGTGGAATTATTTTGGACAGAGCAAGGCTAGCTGATTCTGCTTCCAGTTTTTATGCTCACGTAGGCTACCAATCTGCTCCAGCTTAATCATATTTAGCATAGGGACATGAGGGTGGTGTTAGTCTTCTCATCTAATGCTCAGCTAGAAAAAAAATCTATTCTTTTAAATCTCTCTAATTCTGATCATATAATAATAAATCATATAATCAATGATTAGACTAGGTAATTGGCAGTTGCAGGTATTTCCAGCTTTAAAAGCTACCCTGTAGCTTCAGAACAGCTCTGTAGGGTTCCTGTTGAATAAGTTATTGACAGAAGTATGAGAGAGTGCTGCCGTTAGCTGATTGTTCTGTCAAACTGACCTACCAATAATTTGTATTTTCTTCACTTCATTGTTACGTTTCTTTTTGTGACTTGAAATCTCTTAAAAGATTCATAACCACCAATCTGCATCATGAGATAGCATGTAGGCCTATGTAGATTTCTTGTGTGTTGTCACCTGACATTTGTCTAAATATTTTTATAACTTTTCTGTCTCTCTACATCCAGTCTAACTGCAGTAATCAGTATTCATCGGTAATGGAAAAAGTCTATACATGTTTAAAAGTGCAAAAGTTATCAAAGTGCAAATATTGCCAACCCTGTGTTCTGGCTTGTTTTGTGTCGCTGGTCCGTTTTAGCACTGTTTTGTTTCAAATTTGATTGACAGCGGTGCATTGCTGCCTAAAACATGTACATACAAATTTTACATAAATATGGAAAACTGTATGATGTCTCTTATATTATTTAGTTTTCTTTCATGGATTTAGATATGGCAATGTTGGTTGGTTGGTCGGTCCACCACTTTGGTCCAGTGAAACTGATCAAAATGTGTTTAACTTTTTGACAAAATACCAGAAAAACTAGTGACATTCCCGTCAGCAGCAGCTGTACTTTATCTTTCAGGAGTTAACAAAGATTATGAACATGGTTGTATGACTTCATAGACAGTAACATGCAAATCTACACATCCAAAAGTTTCAGAGTGGAAAGGCCATGTAATACCTGCCAACATCAGCATGTTAACTTTGTCACTGGGAACATGTTAGCAAACTGACATTAGCATTTAGCTCAAAGCAATGCTGTCCATAAGTACAGCTTCCCAAAGCTGTTAGGCTATATTACCAAACAAACTACAACTACCCCAATCCCCCAGAACATTGGGGTTCAAAACGGTTAAGGCTGTGGAACAGCACTTTGCAGTGATTTGATTTATTACTAATTTGATAGCTAAATTGTGCCCTTAAAGTATATTAAAGCCCAGTCAAGATTTACTTTTAAAACATTTAATATTTCAGTTGATTTTAGGCTTACATAGCACATGACATGTCCTGAAACAAATGTATATTTAATCAAATAATCACAAACTAACATATGACATATAGTAGAGCTAGTGTGGGATCATTTATTGGTCAACCCACTACAGCTACTTCAGTTATCTTGACACCTTTCTGCATTGCAGAATACTTGTATATCACATCTAATTATCAAATTATTTTATGTGTACATGACACAAGAGTGAAGAGCCAGATCTATTCATGTTAGTTACTTGTAAACATTTAGCAACTTAAAGATGTATTGCTGAGACTGTGGGACCTCTTATCTTTCTTGTAAACCATAATTTTGGTCTTTGCACGTAATGTGTGATGCTGTTAAAACAAAATATTATATGAACTGCCAAAACAACCAATCATGTCAAACAGAAAGCACTTTCTGTTAGCTGTGCCAAACTAACGATATCATGCTTTTTGGAAAGATAAAACATCACATTGCCAGATCTCCACACAGAAGGATCTCTCATGCACGCATGTTTTTCTTGCCCCCCACATCTCTGATGATGCTAAATTCTTGTCTGGGTGTCTTCTGATTCAGGGTTATTGTGGCTTCACAGGCTGTTGGTGCTTCGGTATGTGGTGTGTAAATGCTAATCCTGAGATATTAACAGCTCATGTTGATAGTGAACTCTAATTCTTTCATAACGGAAAGTCAGCACTGTGTAATGAACTGTAAAACTAAAAAGATTTGTTTCAATAAAGTCTGTGCTGATGGATATGATGAACAGTGAACAGGCATGACTTTCCCATGCCATTTCATTTGATTTATTAACAGTAACATGCAAATATGCACAGAATCCAAAATACTGATTGAGACAGCTTATATTTTCGCTTCACAAGAAACATAGATTTGGACTAACTTGATGATTAATGTTTAAAGTAAATACTTTTATGAGCTAAACTCTATCATGTCAGTACAACATGCGTAAACAACAAAACATGAAACCGTTCTTTCAATAAAAAGGCTTGTTAAAAACCAGGAAGTATCAAACGGACCAATGTCTTGGCCATCTGGTTCTAGTAACAGCTTTGGTATTGGAAAATATATCTCAGATGTGGACTTTGCCTTCTAATCATTACTTCAGCTGCCTTCAAAAGAGCCCCAGAAAACCTGGGGCCAAGATCCAGCTTTGTCCTATTAAGAGATGATGTGCAAAAAACATCCTGTTGGATTCATCGTTTCACTGAAAACCTCAAATTGACAAAGTTGATGAAGTACTATTTCAATTGGTTCCACGTCACAGGCTAGTAAAGTATTAAATTATCCCCCAGTATTAATGCCACCCACTTGATTTGAGTCTGTGTGATAACATGCTACTAAGTTGAAAACTGTAAAGTCTGATTCAACAGAGAGCTCTCAGTTATATGTGCACTCAAAGCTGTGTGAATGCTTTTCTGTTCAGGCAAATACTTTTGGGCTGATGAAGACCTACATTTCCTTGAGTGCATGTTGTCTGCTCAACAGCCGGTAAATAATACAGTCAGAAATGTAGCTCACAATATCTACTAATCAATATAAAACGATGTGCTAAGTACAGAAAAATAATGAGTTTAAACGACAATTCCTACGTTCAGGGGTGGACAACTGTACAATAAAACAGAATCCAACACATCAACAGCTTCATGCAGTCACCATGCGGTTGAATCAACACTATGTCTCAACTCAGACCTGGACTCAAATGAAATACTATATAATCATAAAGGCAACATATGTTGTTGGATTTGTTAAAGCTGCTCTAAAATCAATGTTTTTATATGAACAATGAATTAAATGATTATGTGTAATGTCAAAACTGTTGCTTGTTGTGACACAGAACTATCACCCGACTCTGTAGTAAGGGTGGCTGTGGCTCAGGAGGTAGAGCGGGTTGGTTGTTAATCGGAAGGTGGGCGGTTCAATCCCTGGCTCCCCCTAGTTGCGTGTCGAAGTGTCCTTGGGCAAGATACTGAACCCCGAATTGTATGAATGAGTGTGAATGTTAGTTTCCGTTTGACTGGTGAATGCAGATGTAGTGTAAAAGCGCTTTGAGTGATTGAAAAGACTAGAAAGGCGCTATACAAGTATGGAGCATTTACATTTAAGTCTCTGTTCTATTAAGCATTTCATTGTCTTTTATCTCATTACTTTGATTTTACAGCCCACAGCTTTACTGTTTTGATTCACTCTCACTGCTCTTATCAGTGTTGTTTCCAGCGAAAAAGCTCTAGAAAGAAGAAATTATTCATGCATGTTTACAGAAGACCGGGCAGAGGAAACTCAGTGTGGGGGTTCCGTCTCGGAAGTGTTTTCCCCCGAGCTTATTTCAAGCCCCCAAAAGATTAAGCTGGTTTGAGTTGGTTAAAGTTTCTGCAAGCCTGGGTTTGCATGGTAACGTGAGGATGAAGAATAGAAGGACAATGGAGGCCAGAGACTAGTTTGATGAGGAAGTTGATCCCTGCCAAGTATGCCTGGATAGTGGAGTAACAGATTTGGACTGGATAGGGATATGTGATAAAATAGCAGTTGGACATGAGGTCCTGATAGGGAAATGACAGCTGAAAGGTGACATAAAGGGTGTTTCTCAAAACAATGAATGCAAAGAATGGACTTGTGTTCTTGGAAGAACAAACTTGCTGACAGTTTGAGACGATGTGTTCTTGCACAATACTTCCAGCACGGAGACCACCTGCAGTGCTCCAATATAACAGCCAGGCTTTAACACCCAAAGCAAAAAGCTCAGAATCGGGTTTAACAATGTAATGTCTAATATAATAATAATAATGATAATAATAAAGCAATGACAGTCCCTTTTCATACAATTTCTGTTTATTTTTCTCAAAGTTTAACAAGACCAGATTTTTCCGAACATCATAATTTGTCCATACATCACAAGGCAGATGTCTCTTGATTCTTGAAGTTAAAACCTTACTGTCACTTGCGGAGCTTCTGAACTCTGAAAACGTTTCAGCACATTTTCAATTTGCCCACTCAGTTTTAGTAAAGCTGCCATATTCAACATCTACACATTTGATTTCTCACCTCAAAACTTCTCTGAGTGGATTTTGTAATGAAATAACGTACGAAAATAGTAAAAACGTTCTGTTGTTGGCCTCTCTCTCAGCTTCTTTTCACCCCTCGCTTGAATGCCAAAATGGATATCTTTGCCGTAAAGTTCAGACAAGTTACCAACCGCTGCATCCTCGGTAAAATGGGTGTGTCAAGAACACTTCTGGAAATTTTAACCGTTCTTGTCAAAATGCAAACTTGTGTATTGGGACAGAACTTGAGACACAAAAGATGACATTTCACAAGAACACGAGTACAGACAAGAACACAGAAAGAAGTGATTCCAGCCAGTTGGGTATGCTGCTGAGAGAGTGCTTGGGAGAAGGCCGTGGAGGATGTGTTCCTTTGATACGTTAGATAGGTTGAATTACATGGTTAAAAACAGTGATAAGATGAAAATCCAATTCTGGGGCCAAGAGTCTGAATTCTGTTGTGCTGGCCAGGGAAGTGAGCTGCCCTGATGATGAACTGGTGTTGAGCCGAGATTTGTGTCAGTCTACAAAGGAGCTAGGTGCTGATTTGAGAATGGGATCGATTTCCCGCACGGTAATATGTTGGGGCTCAACAGCGTGGTATGCGGTGTTATCACATTTTTTATCAATAAAGTAACAGTTACAGTTTCTCTCAACTGTCCCTCAGGATCACAACATCGCTGAGGCTGCTAGCCACATTAGCTGCACAGTATGCTAACGCCAAGTTAGCTAACCTTTAAAATAAACAGTACAACAACACAAAACACGGAAACACTTAAAGCTTCCAAGTTTGGCCAAGTCAGGTCACGTGCAGCCCATGGCTATCCGTCCTGGTTGTGGAACATTTGAAGCACTAATTTATTAATTTAACATGCACTGAAGTGCAAAGTATGAACACTGCGGTTGTTGTGGTGCTTGCCATCCTCCGCGGTAGGCTTGACCAATAGCGCGGTATTTCAATTTTGCGGTTATGGCGACAGCCCTAGCTTGAGTCTGCAGTTGGAAGTGCAGCCCAGGTGGTTGAAATTATTGCAAATTATGCAGAAATGATTAACCATCGTCTCTCCCTGATAGAGAATTTGCTTACCCTGATTGTCAATTTATATGTTTGTCTGCGGGTCTAGGGACAATGGGAGATGGGGGTGCGGCAGGTGATAAACAAACGCTGGGGCGTTTTGTGAGAAAAAGGGATGCGAGTGGGGTAGTGGAGCGCACACACTGCATACTGAGGGAGGGTGAGTGGGCGCTCCCCATAACTCACAGCAGAGGGTTGTACTGGCTGCAAAGATGCGACAGAAGAGTTCAGAGTCGAGGCAATCTTGTTTCATTGTCGTTGCGGTGAAAAGGAATCATTTAAGGTGGGCAACTGTCCAGTCTCTGATGTTTGGCTCAGTTTGTGGAAGTGAAGGCGCCGCGCCGTGAAGAGTAGCCAGGGCCTGTGTGAGAGGGAGACTGCTGACGAAGAGAGGATCCATGATTGTGTGATCATGCAGTTGAGCATGGATCACGTCTGTCTTGCTTCGAGCAATCTGAGAAAAGAGCAGCAGGCTGAATAGAATGGGTATACGCAGCCTTGACAGGTGATTGGAGGTGTGGTTGAGGCATGGCTACACAACAAATTAACAAATTAACTTCATTCCAATCTAAATTCTGGGACCTGTAGTAGTAAATGTCACCAGACTAGAGTCAGACTAATGCTGCAGATATTGTACATTTTTCTTATTCTCAACAACCCCACGAAAAGACTAAAACCAACAATGAATAGATTCTACTAACTAGCATTGTGTGTGTGTATCCAGAGTCCCACATATCTTATTCCTTTGTGCCATAGAGCCCCACTGTTTTCTAAAAACTTCACTGAGCCACACTGCTGCACTGGGTGACATGCTCCTTTATTACTGTGAACACTCACTGTAGTTTATTTTGACATAATCCCCATAAATACTAAATAGAGCATCAACTCTGTATTGAAGGGATAGTAAGTGTTTGTAATCTAGTATACATTTTGTTAAATTTCAGCAAATATTTGGTTGGCTATCTCTCCATTTTGTGTGTCCCTTGAAAAAAATATGGTTTTCCTTCACAGCCTTGGCTCTGTAAATGGAAAACAAAGAAAGTGGTAAGGACCTTGCCACACAACATTGTTCCAGCACAGAAGTGAAGGAGGGAAGCCACTGTTCTGCTTTTAATGTGAAGGCACCGGGTCGGGATGTAGCTACATGCATGCTCCCGAGCCTCTCTCCGACTACAGCGTCAACACTGCAGCTAATGAAATGCAGTCCTCCTAGCACAACACAGGCTCCAACACAGGCTCCAACACAGACTCCAAAATAAACTCCACGTAAGGATACAAAACAACAATAAAGGTTTATGTGTTTATGAACATCAGAAAGGCTGGAGTCACGAGAGAGTCACGTTAGCTCGCCAGCTAATGTTGAGCAGTTGCTAACGTCATCCGGTGCAAGATCTAATATGTAACGTTATGGCTTTCCACATTACTTCACCAACTAACGCAACCCATATTACTATCCGTTGTACCACTAGTATTATGTCAAAGTGTTGATTTAGCCTGCAAGAAAGGATGTAACGCTACAAAGCAAATGTGGAATGTTTTTTTATACTAGCCTTGATAGCAGCCAGCTAGTTTGCCACAGATGTACCACTGTTTGCTTCATAAAGTTCAATTTAGATTTATTGT